TTCTGTCAATATAATTTCCAAACTGGTCATAGATGTTTTCGTCCATGGTGGAGGAAATCAACCCGTTCTTCTCATCCTCCCGCCTTATGTTACAGAACCTAATAGTGTGGCCTTGTTGGTCGCAATGTTGGCAGATAGCCGTCCTCCAGTCAAAACGGGCTCTTCCGTACCCCTGACCTCCTTGATCCCCCTGGCCTTGACTATTCCACTGTCCTCCTCGACCGCCGTCATTCCTGCCTCGTCCCCTTCCGCCACCCCTTCCTCCATTGCCTTGATTGCCCTGGCCCTGGTTGATCCCCAATCCCCTCTGGCCCACACTCAGGTGTGTCCAATCTCTGGGGCGTGCCCTCGACGACACCCTCTGTCTCAATCCCCATCTCTCTCTCAAGAGGCTCCTCTATCCTCTGCTCAGGCGAAAACAAACTCGCCTCCTCCTGCATAGTATGCACTGCCTCAAGGAGCACGTCCATGGATCCCTCTGCTGAGCCCTGAGCTGGCTCACTGCTGGATGGTGGTAGCCCCTCCTCAACTGCCAATGGCATGACTGGGCCCGCCGCTATTATAGGTACTGTCGCGATTTCAGTAGGGGCTCTGAACTCGAAGGCCTCTCTCTCTGCCTCCCTCTGGGCTCTCGCCTCCTCTGGCTCCAGGATAACTCTCCCCATAGGTGGCTCCTGGCAAGGCTCCGCTGCAAATGGCTTTCCTGGCAACCCCTGTCATGGCTGCCTCTGCTCTCCTTGTCGGCTGCTCTCGGCCTTGTCCGCTCTCCCTTGACGCTGCTGCCTCAAGTCCTCGATAATGGCAGCCTGACTAGCTACCAGAGCCCTGAGCTCCTGAATCTCTGCTTCCATTATCTCCAAACGTAGCCCATGACCCTCTTCCTTCATTTTCTTCCCCGCCAGATCGCTTTCCACCATCAGATACCGATCGAAATTGGTCTTTGCTAAGAACATGATCTTGCGATCTAGCCTCTCTTCTGCCTTCCTTGTCACCTCGAATCCAGCTCTTGTTGGAGAAGGAAGCCCCTCTCCCTTTTGCTCCTAGAATTCTCGCCACATCTCTGGGATTTCAGGGGCCTTAGGTGGCGCGCTGGGCGGCTGATCCGGAAGTGCCCCTGCTGTCTCCTCCCGCACTCGATTCCATCGAGAATCGAGTGAGATGAATGCATCTGACTCCCACCATATCTGCTTCCCGCCATAGCTCGCGCACCATCCTTTTCTACTAACACCTTATCTACTAATTCCCTACTCAAGCCGACGTCATAATCAAACTCACCCGGGGCCAAAATGATGGAGTTGCACCTTACCTCTCTCGTTCCCATTAAGGGTCGAGAGAGTTATCCCTTCCTGTCTGCGCCCTGCCCGTTTTTGCCATAGTAGCCCATTTGTACCTGACGCGGGTTCTGGGTCAGATTCACCCTCGCGCTATCTACCTGTTGTGTCGGCGTCCGCCCTCCTGCAACACTCCGCTACTATATCCTTCGCAGCTCCGCTACACTATCTACTCCTTCCTCAGCTGCCCAGCGTTACCCGTCGTTCCCACGCCCGCTGTTATTTTGGTCAGTCCATTCGGACCGCACCGTTGCTGACGAGAATGAGGGAACAATCAGCAACCGGCGCCGGTCCTCTCTGTTGGATTTATGCACATCATCCTTGCGCAGTGGCCATGCTAATCTTCTCTGTATCATTCCAATTTTGACGGATGTCCCGAAGGACTTACCCACGGTAGTAGCCTACGGAGCTATCGAGAGGTCACACAGCCCTTGTCTCTGAACGCACCTGACACTGATTCACGCCCAGATTTGGTCCCCCGACGACCCAACTGTCGCAGTGCAAACTCGTCGATCTGCACCCTTCGCTATCCCGAGGGAGAGGTTTTGAGAAACCAGTTACCCGGTGGTTCGATTGGTCCTTCGCCCCTATGCCCAAGTCCATCATGCGACATGCACATTAGTGTCGTTGCGCGCCCCTCCCCACGGCGACTAGTAGGAGGACGTGCGTGGCCTGCTCAAGCTGTAACGTGGGCCTAGGTGATGCGGCCCCGATGCTATCCTGATGATAATTTGCAAGCATCCAACTGCGGACTATTGGGGCTGAGGCGGGGGCGGTCCCGTGGAAGAGATGGTGTGTAGCTTGTATCGCTGCTGTTTCTCCGGCCGACGCCTCTCCCCTATATGCAAACAGACTTACCTCCTCGGCCTATATCTATCCCAAGACAAACCGGTTAAGGCAATTTTGCCTGCGTCCCGCTCATGCGGGAACCCGACCACGAAGTCCACTGCGCTGGGTTCTCTTGGGTTCGCGGCCGGTCCTTAATCCCGCACTCGGCCTGGTCGGAAAGCGCGAGAACGAAAGGAGACAAACTAATATTAAAATTTTAAGACCTACCCCGAAAGGAAAAATGAGAAAGCTAAGGGGGCCGGGACGCGGGACTCACCACTTCTTTCCCTTGGCCCTGTAACGTGGGCCCGCGATCGGACTCCCCCAGCAAAACACAGGGGGATAGTCCAGCGGGACCCTCAACCCCTCAGCTCTTCCGGTGCTTCGTTGCTCCCATACCGCCGCTTGCTGGCCTCGATCCCCGTACCTTCGCCTCATAAGTCCGATACCGTAACCAATAGGGCTAAGCCCAAACCTGGTACCAGTGGGCACAAATCTCTTAATCAAGAGATAGCGCACGACTTTCGGGTCCAAGAAAACACCTTATGCCACTTCCTGGCCCACACTCGCACAAAAGACCACCCAAAAACTCACGTCGGCCTACCTGCCTCGCCGCGGCTACCCGTCCTTAGCCAAATCCATCAGGTCCCATCATCTGGATTCCGCGTAAGTCCATACAGGCTCACTGAACCGTCCACCGTACCACGCGGAGCTAGAGAAAAGAGCGCCCATAGGTTAGTTAGTTTAATCAAAACAAACAACTGTTATAATGAAGCACGTCGACCGGAATCCACGCCGCGTCTTCCATTGCGATCAAAGAGGGAAAAATCACGCGTGTCTCAAACCTGCGCGCCCACACACTCTCTAATCCTAGATGTTACCGCCAAATCTTTAGTCCGCGGACCCCTACGACTCGCGGGGTCTCCCCATTAATTATGAATCAACCCATTTCTCTATCAATTACAAAAAACCAGTGCGCGTACCCTTGTATGGGTATCCGCACCGACAACGCTAAGAAGAATGCGTGAAAAAATCTGAAAATTGAAGTGCTCGTAGAGTTTGTTATAATATTTCAATAAAAAATATTAAATAAATATAAAAAATCATTTCAACCACGAAATAGATCGTGGCCGCAATTTAATCTATATTCCATTTTTGCCATTCAGCCTCTCTCTGTCTCTGTCTCTCTCTCTCTCTCTCTCTCTCTCTCTCTCTCCCCCCTCTTCCCTCTCTCTCTATTTCTTTCTCTCTCTCACACTCATAACAATAAATGGAACAAAACTCTCTCTCTCTCTCTCTCTCTGTCTCTTGTGTTAGCTCTTAGTCTCATTGATTTGGCTACCTTAGGGCTGCTTTCCCCGCGCCCACACGGTAGACAAATTTTCTCCCTGCGGCTACCGGTAAGCCCCCAATGTTTTGGTGCATTGGGCCAGGCTCGAAATTTAGGACTGCGGTATTGTGGGTTCCCGCGTCCGTGTTCACAGCCCAAAGGCTGCAGTGAAATGGGACCTCACCCTCTCTCTCGAAAAAAAGAAAAAAAAGAAAAACAAAGAAACATAGGCCCTTAGGGCTGCGTTCTCTATGCCCCCGCAGTAGACAATAAATAAAGGGGGTAAAAGTCTTGAAGTGGGTAAAAGTGGTAAAGGGAATGAAGGGGGTAAAGGGTGTAAAAGTGGTAAAGGGGGTTATGGTGTACTCACTTGACCCCGTTATTCTTGCCCCACAACCCCCTTTATCTCCTTTGCCCCCCTTACTACCTATTTACCCCCTTTACCCTCTTTATGCCCTTTCATAGGGGGTAAAGGGGAAAGGGAGGTCATAAACGGCCCAGTGGAATCAGCCTCTAAGCATGAGCGGCAGCCTACTTCCCCGCCTACTAACTGCCGCAGCAGTGGTAAACGTTATACTTCCCATTTCCTCAGCATAGTTGTGAGCAGTTGTGAGCAGTCCAGCCTGCAGCACGCCTTCTCGGAGGGTCCTTCTTGGGGCCCTTGTTGGGGTCCTTGTTGGGGTCCTTCATAGAAACCTGCGGAGATGGGACAAAGGAGACCATGAGCACGACAGCGAGGCAGGACATGAGCACCACAGCGTATGGCCAAGCGTGGTGTGCCATTCGCCAAATGAGTTTTCGGGCGGTGGGGAGCTTGGCGAATAGCGAGCAGTGGACCAAGCCCGTACAGCGTGATGAACATGGTCCGATTTTCACACCACGAGAGTGCAAGGAAGGGCCTACCTAGGAGGTGTTGCGAGAGCCGGGTGGCATATCAAGAGGGGAGAAGCGATGGTCCTTGTGAGTCGATCGTTGGAATGAGGCAGGTTTGAACCCGGATAATACGCGGCACACCCGGTCGTACCGGTCGGTGAAAGGTGTGAGACAGCCGACCGGAGGGAAGTTCTCGCCTGGGACAGCAGTGGATCTGAAGGATGAATTGAAAGTACCGGTCGCTCACGCCTTGGGCGACGGGGTAGCGTGCGGTGACAGTGGGGTTTGAGTTACAGGCTTTTTCACCTGACTGATACCACATGCGCGCGGCGTGCACATGTGCGTCTCGAGGGCCGGTTCCCGTTGTCTGTCCTGTGGGGTCGATGAGAGGAAAAGTAATCAACCTGAACATTTTTCCCGGGAGGGGTGGTGGGGTGCTATGGTTGCTCCACGACGATCTTTGGCAGCGATGTCGAAGGCCGGCTACCATAGCCTTCGTTGGCAGGCGGTAGTTTGTAAACGTTGCCAGCTCTGATTATCCCAGTTGAGCTCTTCTGGGGGATCATCAATTCCTCTTCTTCTTGTGTTCCTAACGGTGTCGGCTTGGGTTTCTTCGCGTCCCGCATCGCGAAGAGCACATGGGGGCAGTTGGTGTCTGAGGGCGAAGAGTTGACCCCCACTTCATCAGCTGTTCCTGGCGGCGGCGAGATACATTCCTCTGTCGGGATCGGCAAGACGATCGGAGGCGGTGAAAGGTGCGCATAGCGGCATAGGTATCTGGGTGCTGAAGGGTTGCTGCTGCTACCGTGGTAGATCGCGAAAAAGGGTGCGCATGGGGGCATAGGAAATTCTGCCTTTCCTCCCTGTCAACTCGCCCCTGGGCTCTGCCTCGAGCGCCCGTCGGTCGGAATCCAGTAAGAACCATATCTGGATACAATTTGACTCGCGGCACATACTCGTCTCGTCTCTCTCTCTCTCTCTCTGTGTCCGTCTCTTGCTTTTCCTCGCTCTCTCGTGGTCTCCAATCCTCCCAAATCGAATCATCTCTAGGGCCTGGGGCTTTCGTCATTGGCTGCCTCAGCTTCCCTTGCCTGTCTGTTTCTTCCTCAGTTGTACGTGAGACACATATATATATATATATATATATATACACACTGATGTAAGATGGCAGGCGAAGGGGGTTTGGAGGATTACGACGCAGAGGAGGGGAGGGAAGAGCTAGTAGATTTCGAGTGTTCGGATTTTGAATTCGACAATGAGGAGGAGGATGCAGAGATTGGGACCGGTGAAGAGGAGGTGATGACTGGCAAGGCGGGGTCGTCATCGGACAAAGGAGGAGGGGCAGGAACACAGGAAGCAGCAGTGTCAGCATCGACGACGGTGGCTGTCGCGGCCACGCCAGCAGCAATAGCAGTTCCGGACGATGAAGAGGAGGGAGGGGAAAAGGGTGTAGTAGGTGATCTCTCTGGCCTTTCTCCTCACAGACGTGTACGTCCTCCCCCGGAGGATGACGACGACGATTCGCGACCCTCGTCTCCAGGCTGGAGACGTGCTCGTGGGTCTTCCCGCGCGAGAGATGGTGATGATGATGATGATGATGATGCTGACAAGGATGAAGGGATAGGTGTCTACGTGGCAGCAGGTGGTTCGGTGACGTGTCCCAAAGGAGATGAGGTTACAACCGCCGCCCCCGATTCTCAGCAGAACGGTGATAGTGCTCTCGATGTCCCGATTGCGGAGCAAAGTGCTTCGGCGGAGGGTGACAGGAGACGAGCGCATGATGATGTCGTGAATGTTGTTGTTATTAAGGTTAACGATGATGATGATCGTGGTGCACATCACGCCGTCGGGTCGACGTCTCCCGGCAGTTCTGGCAGCTCTGGGTTGGCGTGGGAAAAGCACTCCTCTGAAGAAGAGGATGATGATGTCGCGAATACCATGGTGATGACTGTCTGCTTCTTATTTTTCCACTCATTGAATGTCTTTCCTATTACTGAACGCTGCACCTCCACCATGTCTTTAAGATGCACCATCTTCCCAGGCTTGGCACCAGCACCACACTTTTTCCCCTCCCTCTCCCTCTCTCTCTCTCTGTTTTGCTTTAGTGTTCTTTCCTTTAGCGACACGTATGCTCAGTTTGCTCTGGTCTTTTCATCTCACCCTCTCCCTACCGCCTGTTGTGTCTGTTTCTTTGCCTCGCTGGTTTCTTCCCTTCCCCCTTGCATTCCTCCTCCTGCCACCCATTTCGCTCTTCCGTTATCTTTCCGTTATTATGCCCGAAAAGGTATCATGTTTTTCTCTTATTTTGCCTCCACTGTCACCGCCGGTGTAAGTAGACTCTTGTTCTCTCCCTCTTTCCCCCCTTCTTCAGCCCTTTCCTCTTCCCCCCCCCCCCCCCCCCCTTTCAGTCGTTGCATGTTATTCTATTAGGTAAGGCTGTTGGTGGGTGGTGCCTCGGCGTCACTAGGCGGAGTGCATTCAAATGAATACTGTATATATATATGTCTATGAGAAAATGTCGCCGCCCTCAATCAATTCTTTGGTTGGAGGAGCAGAAGAGAGGATGGCTATGGCGGTTGACATCCCCAGACTTCTACCTGTTTAGCCATCGCAGCGGGAGCTGTATCATGCCTCTTGCCCTATGTATGATGCTCTCAATACTCGTCGGTGGCGATAGTATATACCCCTTTTTCTCTTGACCTCGGCTTGTTGCTTCTTATTCTTTGGTACTTTTGATTGATGATATGAATAGTGGCAGTAGCTGCTGGAGGAGGAGCGAAGGAAAGGCTAGCTGCATTTTCTTTGTTATCTCTAATCCCCCGCCTATTTTGTACAAGAAAAGCACGAGTAAAATGCGTGCGGTCGCTATATGGTAAATGGCAGTAGCTGATGGAGGAGTGGAGGCGCAAGGCTAGTTCAAGTTCTTCTCCTTTTGTCCCCCCGTCTATTTACAACAAAAGTAGTTTAATGCGTGCGTTGTGCGAGGCGGCAGAGATTTCTGGAGTCGTTCTTCCTCGCTACATGAGGTTTGTGGAGTGCTGTCCCCTCGGAAGGCAGAAGGGGGATAACTCCTTTTGTTCTTGTGTTGTGTGTTCTCTCCTCGCTGCCCTCCATCCGTTTATTCTCCTCCTCCTGTCGTTCTCTCCTCGCGCGTACTGGTGTTTACCGTCTTCGCAGAGTCTATACTAGAAAATTCTGGGTGCGATCGGTGTGCTGTACAGGTGAATAAATGATCGTCGAAACTGGAGGATGGCGGAACCGTAGAATTGTTAGACGTTATCAGTTAATCGATCAGTTAATCAATCAGTTAATCAATTAGTCAATCAATCAGCTAATCAGTCAATCAACCGCTCGACTACCTCTATAATACACTGTTAATGAACTTTAGGAGTGGCATATAAAATCGATTACCTTGGTCATATACTCTCAATGAACTTCGCCGCTCTATTACCTCTATAATACACTGTCGATGAACCACCTCTATAATACACTGTCGATGAACTTTTAGCAGTGGCCGTAACATCGATTACCTTGGTAATATATTATTAATGAACTTCGGTGTGTCGTTGGGGTCCAACAGCAGTTAAAACGAAAACTGGGAATAGCACTGCGGCGAAGAATGCAGGGATGTTAAGAATGTCCTGAGAGGTTACAGCTGTCATAGATACGTAGCGGAGGGAAAGCGGGAAAGGGGGGGGGGGGGGGGGGGGGGGGGGGGGGGGGGGGGGGGGGGGGGGGGGGGGGGGGGGGGGGGGGGGGGGGGGGGGGGGGGGGGGAGAGAGTGCGCTTGTTAGGTGCGTAGGTGAGGGAGGGTAGGGAAGGGAGTGCGCGTCGTCGCTATTAGGGATTGAGGTCTCCTTTCTGCAGAAACGCATCGTCGGCGAACTGCGAACCCTACCACCGCCACACAAGTGCACACACAGACGCACAAATACGCGTTGTCGTCAAACCACAAGAAAGGTCGAATTTTGCCATGTGTATTTTTTGACTAGGTGCGCGCAGGCGTGGTTGGCGGGGAGTTCTGCACTGTAGATGCGAGGATGGCTGTCTTATTCTGTATATAGTATTTAGTGCGGTACGTTCAGTGGTCTAGCAGGTTCAGCCCATAGAAAATTGTTTGAAGCGGGAAGAGTACGGGAAACATTTTTCTTATTATTTTTTAATGGACTTGGAGCTTTTCGGTCTCCGTTTCGTGAAAGGGTTATCGCTGATGAATGCTCTTGTTTAATTCTCTGAACGCGGAATGGTATATTTTCTCCACTGCTTGGATGTGTGTCGTCGTTGCGCATCGTCTTTCCCTTCGGTTGCCGATAAGGCCATGTACGCGACGAGCGTGTTGGCCACGATATGTCGTTAACTTTCTGGAGGAAAGTGGGAGGTGATTATGATAGACCATTCAGCGATTTGAATCGTTCTTGTAGATTTTGCCTACCTTAATGCAAAAAGCGTTCGTCTGGACTCCTGATTAACAAGCCTGGACAACGTAAAAGGACGTGTGATAGTCATGTGTGTGTGTGTGTGTGTGTGTGTGTGTGTGTGTGAGAGAGAGAGAGAGAGAGAGAGAGAGAGAGCAGGGTTGTATATCTTTGTTTGAGATAGAGAGCAGGGGTGTGTGTGAGAGAGGAGTGGTGTCTGTGTGAGAGAGAGCAGGCGTGTTTATGTGTGCGTGTGATAGACAGCACGGTTGCGTGTGACTCCGAGCAGTGGGGTGTGCGTGTGTATGTGTGTTTAAGACACAGAGACAGAGAGAGAGAGAGAGAGAGAGAGAGAGAGAGAGAGAGAGAGAGAGAGAGAGAGAGAGAGAGAGAGAGAGGCGGTGGGGTTGGAGCGTGTCCTGACAGCTATGTGCATAGACTAGCGAGCCTGTAGTCAGCGGCATTGTTTAGGGAGAGAGTCTGGACTGCATGTGCGCAAAAAGTTAGCGGTAGGGGGCGGGGCAACTGAGAGAGAGAGAGAGAGAGAGAGAGAGAGAGAGAGAGAGAGAGAGAGAGAGAGAACCCCGACCCAAATATTTGGGACTGTGTTGTAGGAATCGCTATGTCGTTGCCTGCACTTTCGTCAATGCTAAAAAGTGACCGCTTGCTGCGAGGCAACGGATTTCGCGATGCGACTTATGAGCTCTTCTCCTCTTTTTCAATTCAATTCCACCTCGTTCCTCGTCGCTATGCACAAACTTCGGGGTTCCAAGTTCTGTGTTTTGTTACGATTATGCAGGGAGTTTGTAGGAAGTACTGAGCGGTCGATGTCAATACATCCACATCTTACGCGTTTATGTCTCTTCTTGTCTGTCATGCGGCGAGCTTGAAAGTACTCTCTTTCGTGTTTTGGTTTTGCTGGAAACATTCTGGAAACGTCTGATTGCTCTCTCGCGTGATGTGATCCGTTGAGTGATGGATCGACGGATTGATTGATTGATTGATTGATTGGTTGACGATGAACGTATTGGTAATCTGATGGATTGATTAACTAATTGGCTAACTGATGGATTGATTGTTCATTTGGGAATACCTGATTGATTGATTGAGTGATTTGTTATCGAGTGAATTAGAGTGACGACGGTTCTTTGTACGCAGATTTTTTTTTCGGTAGGCGAATCTCGTCTGCCTGTCGTTCTGCTTCAGGCTTGGCTCTCTGATAGCTTATGTAATTTCTGTCTGTCGCAATCTCCGTGTTTTTTTTTGTCGTAGTTGTCATTATTTCTGGATTTATTTCTGGATTTATGCGTGTCATGCTCGCAAAGAGGGGCTTTGGTGATCTTCGTTCTGTGCATCGCTCGACTTGGAACGGATGTCCCGAGAGGCCTTTTGCGTAGTTGTCGCTTTTACTAGTTTCACCACATGTCGGTGACACGTCAGCAGCCTCTCTAGAGAAAATTCACCGCATTTTCTTTGATTTATGCGTGTCATGCTCGCGAAGAGGGCCCTTGTTAATCTTCTTTCTGTGCATCGCTCGACTTGGAACGGATGTCCCGAGAGGCCTTCGGCGTAGTTGTCGCTTTTGCTACCTTCACCACATGCCGGTGACACGTCAGCAGCCTCTCTAGAGAAACTTGTTTGCGCATTTTCTTGTTTTTTTTCTTTTTTCTTTTTCGTTCGCTTATCAGTCTGTGGAAACAGGGTTTCCCAGTGCTCAGCCATTATTATCACCAGGTAGCTGCGATTTCAAGGTTGTCTCAGAAGTCTGTGGGTAAGGATCCCGACGAGACGGCGGCGATCGCGGCGAGGGTCGGGGCAGCGGCGTGGATTGGAGGGGGTGGAGGTCGTCGTCCGCTGAGAAACGACATTGAAATTTTGTGATTAAAAAAGAAAAAAAAAGCGTAATAATCAGGAACAATGATGGGTCGGTCGCATGTGAATATGGACGGGATGTGCTGGAATGTGAACACGGTCGCATCCGTCTTAAGAAAACTGAAGTCGCAGACATAAAATGCCATCCACTTCATCTTTGTCATCTGCCTGCCATCTTTAATTGACACGTGTAGGCCTTCTTTAATTGCTCTTGACATCAGGATCGTGCAGCCACGTCCAACGCTTAATTGGCTATACAGTGGACAATGTTGTTGTTGCACAAGAGAGGGTCTAAGGTAAAATCACCTTAGGTGAGGTGGAGAGGGTCGGGGTTATCTATTTTTCTGATATTATATTTATAAATTTGTTTCATTATTATATTTAGAAAATTTGTTTCATCTCCTGTTGACAGAAAGATGACATACAGAGGCGAAGCTTTTTCGTTCGTTTTATTTTTGATTTTTAACGCATATCCGTTTGTCCCACGCGTGCGTCGTTATAGGCGAGCAGCAGTGTTTATGCGCGTAACCGTAGTTTAGAGGCAAATCTTTCGTTCGGGGATTTTTTTTGGTGCATTTGCGCAACTCGTACGCATGCAGCATGATCGGCGCGCAGTATTTTTTTTAAGCGCGTAACGGTAATTAATGAAGAGCG